GACTCCCGGGTCTGAGGGGGGAGGGGCTGGGGTCTGGACTCCCGGGTCGGAGGGGAGGAGGGGCTGGGGCCCTGGACCCCTGGGTCTTAGGGGGGAGGGGGCTGGGGGCCTGGACTCCCGGGTCTGAGGGGGGAGGGGCTGGGGTCTGGACTCCCGGGTCGGAGGGGAGGAGGGGCTGGGGGCCTGGACTCCCGGGTCTGAGGGGGGAGGGACTGGGGTCTGGACTCCAGGGTCGGAGGGGCGGGAGCTAGAAGTCCGTGTCTCTGTGGGTAACAGAAAGAAAAGGTGTCGTTAAAACCACGCTGATGTGTCCCTGTACTTCAGTTTTGCCCTTGCAGTGGCCAACAGGGCTGTGAACCTCACGGAAGGTTTCCCCTATATCAGGTACTTATGGCGCTGGCGGGGTGGGGGTGAGGGGCTCCGCGGGAGAAGAGGAGGGGGTCCGGCTCCCCGGAGCCCCAGGACGCCCCTTCATCTTCCCCAGCCTCTGTGGATCCTACCCGCCTCAGAGCTGCATCTTCAGCCAGCTGCTCAACATGGGAGCCGCTATGGGTAAATATTCCCAGCCCCTTCTGTTCAGGGCGGGCCCCTCCAGCCAAGGGGGACCCGGCCCCAGCCCCGCTTCAATCCAGTAGTCCAAGCCCCCCCCCGCCCCCCCAGATGTGGGGGTTAGGCCCCCCACTCCCACCCCTGGACGCCGGATCTTTCCGCACCCCCTCCCCAGGAGTCTGGGCCCGGGGCTCCCGCCCACTTCCCTCTCCTCCCAGCCGCCTGGATCTGCATTATCCGTTACCACCAGCTCCGGGACTTGGGGGTCAGAAAGTGGCTTAACCGGCTGATCCTGTGGACGGGACTCCTGTGTGCCCTGGGCACCTCCGTGGTGGGCAATTTCCAGGTGAGCCCAGAAGGACGTTCTGACCAGCACGAGCCTGGGACTACAGCTCCCAGCAACCCCTGGGGCCGCTGGCTTCTCGTCGCGGGGGCTCGTCCGCGCACGGCCTTCTGGGACTTGTATTTCTCTTTTGGCCACCTGGCCGGCGTGTTGGGGGGGTGAGTTAGCTCCCCGGCTCTCAGAATAGAGTCCCACGTGGGAGGCTCCTGGCTCCATTATTTCACTCAATTCTAGAAGGCTGAGGTAATTGACTGTCATCGCCTGCCCCTCTCCCCTCTTAATGATATAATTACTCGGAGCCACTCATTCTTAGGGTTGCCACAGAGACGGAGCGTTCACCGAGTGCAGGGCGCTAGGCTTCACGCCGTGTATGTTTCCATCCGTCTCCATGAGAGCCCTCGGTAGACGCTTTTTTAGTCAAATCCGACAGAGTTGGCATTGGTTGTGGTTGTTGTTGTTTTAATCAGCTGGTCCCTGGCCTCAGAAGTGAACCCCAGGGGCGCCTGGGTGGTTCAGGTTGTTAAGCCTTTGACTTTGGCTCAGTTCACAAGTTCGAGCCCCCCCCATCCAGCTCTGTGCTGACAGCTCAGAGCCTGGAGCCTGGTTCTGCTTGTGTCTCCCTGTCTCTCTGCCCCTCCCCGACTCGTACTCCGTCTCTCCGTCTCTCTCGTTCTCAAAAATAAGTAAAAACATTGGGGAAAAAAAAAACAGAAGGAAATGAACCCAGATTCATAGAGTCTAGAGCCCACATTCTTCACCGTGGAAGTTCAGTAGATAATTGCAGAACAAATGAATGCACAATCGGTTGGAGAAAGCCTATTGATTTATTTTACATTGTTATTTAATTTTACTGCTTTGTCTCAGATTCCAAACCTCTCCTGCTGAAAGAAACCACAGGGTGTTCGATAAGAGGCTGCCTCCTTGGGCCTTTTAATAAAAATTCCCAATCATCTCTGCATAGCATTCACTTTACTCATTCATTTATTCCTGGGTTCTTCAACTTTAACTTTTGAAAAATATTATATTGGTCTCCTAAGAAGCCTTTTCTTAAGTTTATTTTGAGATAGAGTGAGAGCAAGTGGGGTAGGGGCAGAGAGAGAGAGAGAATCTCAAGCAGGCTTCTGCACTGTCAGTGCAGAGCCTGACCTGGGGCTTGAGATCATGACCTGAGCTGAGGTCAGACACTTAACTGACTGAGCCACCCACGTGCCTGTCCTCTAAAGAAACTTGTGAAGACATTTCTCGCTGGTCAACACTTCCTCTTATCCAGCCTTTAATATTTAGGATATATTAAACAGCATACCATATATCTGCAAGCCACAAACCATTGTAATATTCAAGAATTTTTTCACCTTGCAAAAACCAATTCTTACCCCCCCGAGTGGCCACATTAGCCTCCCTGATGCTGGTTGAGAATGAAAGATTTAGTGCACTGATATTTACTGAGTGGCTGCGATGTGTCAGGCACTGTTGTTGTTTTTTTTTTTAAATATTTTTATTTATTTCTAGGAGAGAGAGAGAGAGAGACAGCACGAGCAGGGGAGGGTCAGAGAGAGAGGGAGATACAGACTCTGAAACAGGCTCCAGGCTCTGTGCTGGCAGTCAGCACAGAGCCCGATGCGGGGCTCGAACCCACGAACCACGAGATCATGACCTAAGCGAAAGTCAGACGCTTAACCGACTAAGCCACCCAGGCACCCCATGTCAGGCACTGTTTTAGGGACCAAGGCCACAGCAGTGGACAACAAATTTAAGTGCCTGCCCTCCTGTCGCTGAGCATGGCCCGTACACCCAGTTTTCAGCGCGGGCTACTGGGTGGACCGAGGACCCCTCCCCGCACGTATCCAGCTTCCTCTCTGCCCTTGTCCCTCTTCTCCCAGCAAAAGAACCAGCTGCCCACACACCTGACAGGGGCCTTCTTCGCCTTTTTCGTGGGCAACCTGTACTTCTGGCTGCAGCTTTTACTCTTCTGGTGGATGAAGAGCCTGCCCCAGCCTGGGCCTCCCTGGATCGGGCCACTCCGCTGGGGCCTCTGCAGCCTCTGCTCCATCCTCATGGTGACCAGTATCCTTACTGGGGCCGGTGGCAGGGCTCAGGGTGGGGTTTCTCCATCAGGCTGGGTCTGCCACACGTGGTGTGCAGTGCCCTGCCCTGTCTGGGCCTCCATCTCCTCAGGATTTTTTTTTTTAATGTTTATTTATTTTTGAGAGAGAGAAAGAAAGCGAGTACAAGCAGGGGAGGGTCGGGGCGGGGGGGGGGAACCTGAGGATCCAAAGAAGGCTCAGCGCTAACAGCAGAGAGCGAGCAGCCCTCTGTTTGGGGAGCCTGCCCAGTGCCGTGCATCATGTTGGCTAATGTTGGCTAAGACTGGAAACTGAGGTTCATATTGGTGGACTCTCTTGGCCAAGACGGGCCACGAAGTTCAGTGGCAGAGCTCGAGTAGGCTCTTGAGGGCAGCCCGTATCTGTCCCCAGCTCCATATCCAGTGATGTAGAGTTAGCAGCTCCAGTTGGCCTTGGTGGGAGTATTTATAACACAGAAATTGGCCAATGATGCAAATCAGAGCTGGTTGTTAACCATTACCACCATACCTACCACTTGGTGAAGACTCTACCCAGCCCATCACTGACTGAGTGAGTCACCTGAGCCTAGATGCCTTCCGCCAGCACGGCACACCTCTGGTGACTCAAATGACTCCCTGCACTTCAGTCTCCATATCTTGAGATGGACTTGTGTTGATCGTAGTAATGATTGTTACTGATCAGCAAACTGCTCTGAGAGAGGAGAGGCTGCAAATTCAGCCTCAGGGACTGATCTTGCGGAGGATGGAAGGGAGGCCAGAGGCTGCTGATGTTCAGAAGAGGCCTGCAGGGAAACCGGCTGACATCCTGTGTGGGCTGCCTTAGGGACCATGGGACTGATAATCAGTTTCGCTGCCCCTGCAGCCCTTTTTCTGTGGGGCTCAAACATCCCTTGGTCGTGGGGCTGGGAGCTGGACCGTAAGGATGGCCAGCGAGGTGTGATGGGGGCTGGTGTCTGCAAGGATGGGCCTGGGAACTAGCAGATTCTCAACTGGTCTCGCAGAACCAGCTACTGTTGGGCTGGGTTGGGAGGCTGGGGAGACCCTGCAGGTGCGTGTGAAATGTGGAAATACCAGCTCAGAGATGAGGCTGCTGGCGGCGCCAGAGATGAGGATCTCCAGTGCTAAGGTGAGGCTTTAAAGGCTTGGGTTTCTGCCCAGGGGCAATAGGGAGCCATGGGAAGCTTATGAGCAGGGGAGGAAGAAGGTCAGTTCTGGAGGTAGCCACCTTGTGTTCGGGTGCTCCCACCTCTCCTTTGCTGTAAGATCCATGGGGTCAGGGGTGATGCCAGCCTTGTTCACGGTCTAAAAATCCTTTAGTGAATGAGATAATGTCTAAACCGATCTAGGAGGAGAGAGAGCTAGCTTAGGTGAGAGGCAAGGTTGTTGCAGTGAGGGGGCTCCCAGAAAGCGAGATGCATGTGCCAGGCTGAGCTTGGGGTGTGCTTGGGCTGGCGGAACGTTTTCAGAGGCTCCTGGCTGGCTCAGTCAGTAGAGATGTGACTCTTGATCTTAGGGTTGTGAGTTCAAGGCCCACATTGGGTGTAGAGTTTACTTGGAAAGAAGGAAGGAAGGAAGAATTAAAAAAAAAAAGGGGGAGGTTTAGGAGCAGGCGACTGAGGAGCTGGAGCCAGGACAGGAGGGAGATGGGCAAAAACAACATCACAAGCCTTGGGGTGACCAGCTGGCCGCGGCCATGGGGCTGGGGAGGGGGAGGGGCCAGGGTGATTCCCCAGGGTCCTCCAGGCACGTGAGTGGGTGGCAGGGCTGTCACCAGGTGGGGATCCCAGGAGGAGGAAGATATTTCAGGGGGTGAGTGGGAGGGGCCCCAGGGCTGTGGCGGTTGGGGAAGAAAGTTGCCAGTGTAGCCTGAAGCTGGCATCTGGGTCGGGGGCATCTTTAGGAAACCCTGCATATTTGAAGGGAGAAGCAGTTGGGAGCTGTTTGCCTGTCTGAGCAAGTGGGGAGATGGTGATGGTGGAGCCTTAATGGGGTCAAGGAAGGCCAAGGATGGAGAACGTGGTTCAGGAATGTTGGAAATGCAATAGCGCAAAGGGAACATGGGCAGCAGCCTGAGATAGAGACAGGGGTCGGTGGGCATCCCGGTGAGGGTGTCTGAGGGCCGCTGAGGCGGGGGAGCTCCCAGGGGCCATTCCGGACAGGGCAGGGCAAGTCTGTGGAGAGAGGGCGTGGGGTCCTTCCTGCGTGGCGTGGCCCTTGACCCCCGTGTGAAGTGGTCGTCCTGCACTCGTGGCCGCTGCGCTCGGCCGCCGCCGCCTGCGAGTGGGCCGTGGCCATGCTGCTGTTCACGCTCTTCGGCCTGTTTGCTGTGGACTTCTCGGGCCTGGACGGCTGCACCCTGAGTCTCCGCCCGGGCCCCAGCCTCAGCTCCCCGCCCGCCTCCCCCATCTCCCTGCAGATCCCCCTGTGAGCGGCAGTCCGGCCGGGGTGCTCAGACCCGGCGCAGCGGCGCAGAGATGATCGATCAAGCGGGGCCACCCAGGAAGTGAGAGGCCAAGGCCAGCCAGCCATCCCTGCTCAAGGCTATTTATTATTATTATTATTAATTTTTTTTTTTTTTTGCCGCCGGCGGAATCAGAGACACGGACGCAGGCAGGGTCACGCGAAACCAGAATTCCTTCCGGAGAGCAAATCCGTACAGAAGGTTGTTGAGGGAAGGGGAGAACCGGGGAAGGGGGGGCCCGGGAAGGAGGAGCTGGGGAACACAAGGACGGATGGCCCCCTCCGTCCGGATCTGCTAAGCCGCCCCAACCAGCCCCCGTCCCTCCCCCACCCCGCCCCGCAGAGAGATTGATCAATAAATAAAATAATAAATTAATCAATAAATAAAATAGAAACAGCTCCCCCGCCCTCAGTCCCCCCTAGAACCACCCCCCGTTGGGCACGGCCCCCTGAGCCCCATCCCTGCGGGGCGAGGCCGGGTTTGTTGTGTCTCTCCCCTCCCTACATACTCCTTGGGCCCTATTTACAGATTCACAGTTGGGGGGGCAGGGAAGGGGGGTGGAGGGGACTCCCCTCCTTCCCCGGCCCCCTGGGGTCAGGGCAGAGGGGTCCCGTTGGTGGCCAGGAGCTTCTTGTCCTTCGCGGGGCCTCGGCGGGGGGAGCCGGTCAGCTCTGGGTCTGGGCGGCCAGGTGGGGGCTGCAGGCTTCTGGGTGAGGTACCAGCAGCCCGAGTCTGGGCCCCGTTCTTCTCGTCTGTGGAGGAGGAAGCAGTCTGGCCTCGGTACCCTCAAGGCTGCCAACCCCCCGAGGAACATGTTCTGGCAACCTCACGCCTGGGGAGACGCTCGCCTGGAGGACACGCATCTGGAGCCAGACCTGGCGACCTCAGGACAGCAGGTCATGGGCCCCTCCCAGCTTGTCGCTGTGGAGACTCAGCCAAGTGAGTCCCAGTGAGAGCCAGCGGCCCACCTTCAGGAGGCCTCCTCAGAGACGGCCCAGGACGCCATTTGCTAAGGAACAGGCTGTCACAGCAGCAGATCGGATTTGGGGATGACAGCCAGTGGCCCCCTTTCCTTCCTCCCAGCCCTGCTGGTTAGGGAAGACGCTCCTTGGCAACAGGGCCCACGGGAGAGCCTACAGTGGGCTGTTTGGGGGTCTGTTCAACCCGGATGGTGGACTCTCCCTCTCCAGAACACACTTCCCCAACTCCTGTCGGCGGGAAGTTCCGCTACGCTCAACGCTGAGACTACTCATCCCTCTTGCGGACCCCTGGAGGTGCCCTCCCTCGCAACGAGGCCTTCTCTGGTCAGGATGGCCTGTTCCCTGGATGCAGCTCAGGCCTCAGCCTCTCTGAGAACTGGGGAGGCGCTGCCCCCATGCCAGAACCCCGGGGGGGGGGGCACCTGCTCAGCAGGGGGCCTCCCCTCCAGCCCACAGGATAAAAGAGGGAGGTATCAAGCAACCCCCACCCCCACCCCAGCAAGGCCCTGCCTCCCACCTGCCAGGGCCTGCACCGAGGGCTGGTCGTGAGTGCTCAACAGCTGTGCCTGGATGGTCTCCACGACTCGCTTGAACCGACGGCTGGGACCTGGAAGTGGTATGGAGACAGACTGACCTGGGGGCTGGGACAAGGAAGTCCCGCCCCCATCCTGGGCATCCAGCAAAGGATTCTTCTCTCAGTCTCAATTCCCCTGCCCTGTGTTGAGTATCAATCCACGGTTTTGCAAAGGGGTCTAAGGAAGCTCTGAGTTGAAATAATCATGGGTGCTGTTTTCCATTTAAATACATTCCGTTCCTTGTTAGTTTCAAGTCAAGGTCACAAAGAGCCAGAAATGTAAGAAAAAATAAATGGGAAGTAAAATAAAGTCTTACAGTCAAAGAAGTCCTGCGTATTAGTCTTTAAGAGAAAGGAAGAGGGGCGCCTGGGTGGCTCAGTCGGTTAAGCGTCCGACTTCGGTGCAGATCATGATCTCACAGTTTGTGGGTTTAAGTCCCGTTTTGGGCTCTGTGCTGACAGCTCAGAGCCTAGAGCCTGCTTTGGATTCTGTATCTCCCTCTCTCTCTGACCCTCACCTGCTCATGCTGTCTCTCTCTCTCTCAGAAATAAATAAAACATTAAAAAAAGAGAGAGAGAAAGGAAGAACAACGTGCCATAATTCATTTCGGTGATGTGACACTGCAGTGCTCTAGGGCAGCCTGGTTTAGAATCGCAGGAGCAAGCACATCTCCCAGCTGTGACATCCTCAGACTACTCACAGGGGTGGCAAACAGGGGTGTCCCTTGTCATTCAGACTCTTGTTAGCAGGGCTCAGGAACCAAGCTGAATTGGAAGCAAGGCACGTCTATGGCTTTTGTCTCCTGTGCCAACTCCCAATTAGTGATGGTTGCCTGAAGTTTCTCAGGCTGCAGCTGAGCTCAGCAGGAAGTGCGGTGGTTGATTGGTGATGTCTGCTCTGGGTGCAGGAGGGACATTTGACAGCAGCTGGCCATGTCTTTGCCCTTGTGCTGTATGGTCTTAAGAAGTAGGAAGGGGGCTCTGCATTTCAAGGTGAGGAGGGCTAGGTTGAGCCCAGCTCTGTCACAGTTTGCAGCGTGACTATCAAGTCAGTTTACCTCTAGGGGACTCGGTTTCCTCTGTAAAATGGGGGATTACTATATCACAAAGGCTCCTAGGAAACTTCAATAAAATAGTGCATGGAAAGCATTTGGAACATCATAAATATCCACTAAATGTCAATGAGGAAAGAGAGAAGGAGAGAAAGTAGGGGTTGGAATGAGGAGGGGGCTCACACAGTCAGCACTAGCTGAGCGCCATGTCCTCCTTGCACTTGCTGCTCTCTCGGGCCACTATCCTATCTCAGCTGTCTTGAGCATCCCAAACACCAGGCTGGCGGCAGTGTAGCCGGGGAAACTTACCGGAGATGAGAGTAAAGGTGACAGAGTAGATGCCACCACCACCGCTGCCATCCCGTCGTGGGGAAGGCTCTGGACCTTCTGAGGAGCTAATGTCCACCTGGAATCGGACAGGCTTCTGGAAGACGGACGGGCCGCCACTGGCCTTGTACTCGGCCCTGAAGCTGGTCTGTGACAGCACACTGTGACTCAGGCTGGGGATCTGAGACAGGTGGGGGACAAGAAGAGGGGGTGATTCCTGTGAATGGAGAGCCAACCCTATAACTACCTCTGCTCAAGGAACTACAAGTTCCATCAGCCACCAGGGCAAAGAATAACAGCCAAGCCACTGGGAGCCCCCACTGCCTGCTGAGACTTGTAGTTTTCTTGTCCAACTAAAAACAGGGTATCAGGGAAATGGCTGAACAACTGGACCCCCACATAACAGGCACCCTCATATCTAGGTGTCAGCCCCAGGCTCCAGAATCACACGACACAAAGTCTCCTCCACAAGCACTGCCATATCTGTCTCAAAACCTGTAAGTCCCACTAGCTCCTAGAGCAAACACCCCAGGATACAGAAACCTCTCCCACCTCTCTGCCTCTACAGCGACCAAACTAATTCTGAATGGAAAACCACAGACCCCATGAGACTCAGGAGGAACCCAGCCCAGAGGTAAGTCGGGGGGGGGGGGGAACCCCCCAGGGGCTGCTGGGATATGTAGTCCTGTGCTGTCCGGGACACATGAAGACCCAGGACCCTCACCGACAGGAAGGCGTGGACAATGTCCGCTTTGATGCTGCTGAGAGGTTTGTCCTTTAGCACAAGGAATATTTGTTCTTCTTTGTCCAAGGAGATGAAGTTCCCAAACCAGGAACGTTTTGCCAACCTGAGTGAAAGGGGATGGTTGGAGGTGGGTCAGGAGGGGGCTAAGGGATTAAATCCCTCCCTCCTTCCTCTCAACTCCCTTCCCGGTCAGACTCACTCTGGAGAGGACTCTGGAGTCAAGCTGGACATCTCCTCGGCAGTGGGGACTGGGGGGGGGGGGGGGGGCGGTGGGAGGGTGGGACAAGAGTATGGTCAACATTTGTCCATCATCCTGGTGTCCAGCACACAGGCCAGCAGTCACCTCCAACTGGAGGTTCCAGACCCCAGCACCCACTCACCTCCCAGGAGCTAAACCCCAAAGGGCATTCTGCCCGAGGGTCCCTCCAGGGACGCTGTTCCACCCACTAGACCGCGCCCCCTGAGGGTGGAACTTGCTGGCCACGAGCCAATGGGAAGATGAGCCAGAGCATGGAAGGGGCGTGTCCCTCAGGGAAGCCCCTCCTCCAGAGCTGGACGCGGTACTCCCTCCTCTCAGCACTCTGAATCTCTCCCCCCAACCCCATCCTCTCCACGGACGTGGGAATCCAGGCCCCCAGCTCTCTCCTATTAGGACCCAGGAATTCATGCCCCCAGGCCCCGCACCCCCAGGGAGCCCGTACCCTGCATCTTGCGCCGGTGAAAGCGAGGGGAGCCCAGGAAGCTGTTGCGGATGGAGTTGAGACGACTCCTCCACGCGGCTCCCCCGACGCCACCGCCGGGGCTTGGGGGTGGCGTTGTTCCCGGCGTCCCGGTGGGGCTGGCCCGGGGTGTGTGCAGGGGTGAATGCAAGGGGGTCCCCCCAGAGGAGCGCGGGGAGCCTGGGGGGCCAGGCAGGGGGGTGGAGCGGGCACTCGGGGGCGGGGGCTGCTCCCCGGCGCCCCCACCCCTGGGGCCTCGAGAAGGCAGCGTCTGCGTTTTGGAAGTCGGAGAGCCCCCGCCTCGAGCCTCATCTCCAGCCCCGGGCTCAGGTGAGAAGGAGAAGACAGGACTCTGCGGAAGACAGGAGATTGGTGAGATGGCCGACTACAACTCCCAGGAGGCTCTTGGAACCTCATTCTCACACACTCACAGAGCTGGACACCAATGCATGCTGGAACTTGTAGTCCAATTATTTCCCCCTCCCAACCCACCTTGTTAGGGGGTCAGGGACTTTTTCTATCATGCTTGCCGCTGTAGAGCCAGCAGAGCGACTGGCCACGGTACGGACTCATTTCGCTTTTGTTAAATGAATAAATGAACATTTGAGATACTAAACACCCAATCCTAATGGAGGTGAAATGCCCAATGCGCTAAAATACTTATGCAGCTTTGGGTTTGGGTCCTTTTAGGGACAAAGGGGCAATGCCCCAAGACTTCATGGGAATTGTAGTTCTGCCAATCTTCTCTCCAGTGGTTTCACCCACTTATCCCTTCTTAATTAATGGGAGACCTGGCCTTACCCTTGGGCTGCTCAGAGGACTGGAGGACAGACCGGTGGAGGCTCCACTGACACTACGAGACCTGTTTCCCGGAGAGATTTTTTTTTTTTAAATCAGGTGTGTGATTTTCATAAGGCTCAGGTGTCCTCTCCC